AAGGGGGGACCTGAATCTGTTGCACAACCCTCCTCTGCACCAGACTTGGTCTTCACTGCAGATTTATCAGAACCCCAAGCCATCTCTGACGGAGCACCAGAGACTGTTACAAAACTGTTCTTCAAAGGTAGTTTGAAATGGTTCTGACCTGGAGAAGATGGAGAATGGGGCCTCTTCAGAAGATCATACAGTACTTTGATAACTTTGAGGCTGAAGAAGCTGTTGTTCTTCACTGGGTGGGCACAGAAGATGTGTCTCAATGCTTCGACCTTGCCTTTCTCATTTCTGTCCTGCAGAAGAAGAAAGAAAGACATCAAGGTAAAAACCTATGACTACCGTATCTCCAGAAAAGCATGTCAAAGCTTTGGAGGAACATGAGATGGAAGTGTTTGATGAATGGTTGATGGAGAAGAAGAGAAAGGAATCACTCATCAAGTTTCGCCACAGTGCTCATGAAGAAGGGGAACCCTCCACAGCTAATGATGTTCCTCTGTCAATGGAAAAGATGGTCAAGGAATTGAGAGAATCCTTGTTCTCTGGAACTGTTCTTGAGGTAATTCCTACACCCCCTCCTTCCCCTCCCAAATCTCCTTTTACTCAATCACTCCCTCCTAAAGTACCTTCACCTAAATCTCCCTCACCTCCCAAATCACCTTCAAAACCTTCAACCCCACTCAAAAAGAAACCCCATCACCTCAGAAAACCTCCTCTCCCCCACCACCCCCATCAGAAACCCAACCCCTCAGGAGACTAAATCAAAGTCTCCATCACCCTGCAAACAACCCTCACCTCCTAGAAACCGGTCACCCTCACCACCACCCTACCCCAAACCTCTGAAATCTATCACTCATCAGAACTCCCCCCATCAGAACTCTCACCATCAGAACTCCCCCCATCAGAAAACCCCCTCTCACCAGAGTTCACCTCCACAGCAGAAACCCTTGTCAATCACCAGAGCTGCAACACCCCCACTCTCTCCTCAGCTCTCTGTAGCTTCAACACCCAAGAGAGAGATTCCCATTCGCTTACTGTCCTCAGATGCTGATAATGATGGATTCCTCACATCCTCTCTTGCGGGAGACTTCACATCCAAGAGGAGGAAGACACCTCCTAGGGATCAATCTGCTGAACCCACTGGCAATACTACTCCATTCCCTAAGGGAAGAGGTCTGGAGATGCCTGGGTTTGCTTCAGAAGCGCCTCAGATGGACTTCAACCAGTTTGTCCAATCCGTAGAAGAGTTTGGTGGTCAGATGCTAGACAACATGAACAAGCTCATTGTCATCAATGACAAACATTATGAGCATCTGACTCACACAAACATCAATCTTAATCAGGGCCTACAGCATCTGTCAGAAAAGCTTGACACTCTGACAGAATCCCTGCATACTTTCATGAGCTCATCCAACAAGAAGATTGATGCTGTCTCCAGGGAAGTAGATGGAATCAACTCTATCCTCTACTTTCACTCCCAATCCATGAATAATCAGAATGAGACACTGAAGCAGATCACTGAAGCTTTAGATGTTCTTCAATGGAATGCTGATCAAGCCTCAACACGTTTTGTGGAAATAGGAGATCTGTGTACAGAACACAAAGCGCAAGCTTTAGATCTTATTCACAAGGACAAGGAGCGTTACCAGAAATTGGTACTCCTTGAAGCCAGTACACAGAGTATCCAATCTACTATGGAAAGACAACAGAGCATGATTGAAGGACTGGCCTCTGTTACCCAGACTCTGCCAGAAGCTCTTGATGAGATCAGAGATGTTCAAGAATCAGAGTTCTCGAAGATTGAGCTCCTCCTTGGCGATCTTGTTGATGCCAAAAAGGGGGAAGACACCAGAGAAGAAGAAGGTCCAAGCTCCAGAGCCTTATCTATCATAGGACCCTCATCATCTGTTGATCCTGCTCCTTATTTCGAAGCTGCCAAAAAGAAAAAGCAAGCTACTGCAGGCACCAGACCTCCTCCTCCACCTCCCAGAAGTTCTAAGAAGAAGTCCTCCAACTTTACCTTCAATGAATGGATGAAGAGTGGGATGTCTAAGCCTGACATAGCCCAATTTACACAGATGAAGAAGCTGATGACTCCACTGCAACAAGAGAATATGTTTATGGACAGTGATGGACTCGTCCAAATTAATCATGGTGGATCAATACAAGAAGCTGAAATCTAGTGGCAGATGAGAGTCCTATCTGGCAAGAATGTATCAGAAGCAATCAGAAATTACTTAGATTGCAAGCTTGCACCTCACTGGGTAGACTATCAGAATCCGAGGGACTTAGCCTCCATCAGAGCAAAGGTCAATGCAGAGCTTGAAAAGATTGACAGAGCAGGACCTCAGGTAGATGAAGATGAATCTTAATTTTATCCATCTCTGTTTATGTACTTAATCATCTGATAATAAGATACCATCTCTGCCTCTAGTTTGCACGGCATCTTAAATTATCTGTTCCTTTTGTGACTTCCTTGTGGTTGCTCTGTTTCTTTATGTCCTTTTATTGCTATCTGATTGTACTATACTCTTACTATTTTCCTATGCTAAGTTGCCCACCAAGATTTTAATGAAAGTTTTCAACTTTATTCTTTTACGGTGAAAGGCACTTCTCTGGAAATAGTTAAAGGGTTTTGGCATCATCAAAAGGGGGAAATTGTAAGGAATAAATGTAATTAGATTTTGATGATGCTAGGTTGATTAGAATTTGAAAGTACCCCTATAGAAATCTTGTATTAGAATTTGTCTTTGTAAGTACTAGAATAGTCGACGTGCCAGATACCCTCTTGGTCTTCCTTATCAGAACTTCTATCAGAGATGCGCCCAGAGTTGCTCTCTAGAGAAGCCATCGGAGTTGGATACCAGAGTTGGCATCAGAAGCTGCCATCAGAGTTCTGATCAGAAAACCTCATCAGACAAGCTCTTACCTAGCAGAACTCGAAGGCACTTACCAACGGTCGTTAAACTAACGGGAAATCCTCTAACGGCTAGGAACCTTTCGACGGGAACATGGTACTGTACATGCATTAAATGCTCAATTAATGTTGTACGTACGAAGATAAATTTAAAGCTGATGATTGACCATGCGAGTATCTTCGCGCCCCCAAAATAGCAAGTCGAAGGTCCAATCGGTCAAGTCAACAGTACAAGCATTTAATGAAGCTGTCTTCTACACTCCAACGGGAAGACTGCTCCCAGTATATAAGATACACTCTGAAGAGCTACCAGGATAACTTTGCCTCATCCAAGAAAAGCTTACCTCAACAAGAAAAGCTCAAGTTGGAAGATAAACTTTCTTATCCCTCATCCAACTAGCAAGTTGCAAAGTTCCTCAGTTCTTCAACACTTCGAAAACTTCATCTACACATCCTTTGTGAAGAAGCAACGTTGGAGAAAACTGATCTTGAATCAAACACTTCTTGAAAAAGAAGGGGCGTCTCAAACTAACTGGAGTAAGTGAAGTGGTGATACTTCCAAGAGACTCAGTGAAACGAGACCAGCCATCAGGAAGCAGGACTGCATCCCGAGTGGCAATTAGGCTTGAAGAAGACATGGAGAACTTCTTAAGTTCTAGGGACTAAGGCGTTGTAAACTGTTGTTTTTCCAAGCTTAGTGGAACAGTGGACTAGAGGAACGAGTTGTTCCTTGAACCACTATAAAAATCCCCGGTGTCATTTACTTTACTCTCTTTATTCCTGCACTTAAGAACTTGACTGCATAACTCAAAAGGTTGGACTCTGTGTTCAGCAGATCTTCCTCAAGAGTTATAAGAAAGGCATTTGCCTTAGTGTTGTCTGAGGCTACCCGGACAGAATCTAATCCGCTGCCAGGTCCAGTTCTGCCATCAGAACTTGTCCTTCTCTGTCACCAGAATTCGACCATCTCTGATAAGTCAGTTGTGACTTAGAGAAAAGTTTAAATTCCTGAACAGTCTATTCACCCCCCCTCTAGACTGTTCCCATTACAAACGGGACCAACACTTCTCATGAACCCACCAGCCGCAACACAGCCAACCACAAAACCCCGGTCAGTCCCTCGTCCACACTAAGCCCGGAGTATAGACCCTTGCCTATTTATGATCAACTGTTTGATTCCTCTGCCACCTGTCCGACACCAAACCCCACCATTTCTTCCTTTATCCCGCCGTGGATAGCTCCCATCTCTCAGTCTAATTTTCATCCTATGCAAACTCGGGCTAAGTCCGGGATTTTAAACCTAAAACTATTTTTACCTTAAACACAGTTGTTAGCTCAGCCGATCCTACATGTTTTTCTGAGGCACATAAACACTTAATTGGGCGTGAGGCCATGGCGGATGAATTTAATGAAGTTATTTCTAATAATACTTGGATGTTGTTGTTGTGGTTGTATTTCTAATAATACTTGGGATTTAGTTCCATTTGATAGCTCTAAGAATGTGGTTGGGTCCAAGTGGATTTATAAAACTAAATTTAACTTTGATGGATCTATTGAGCGCCATAAGGCATGTTTAGTTGCTCAAGGTTTTAGTCAGCAGGCTGGTGTAGACCTTTCTGAAACCTTTAGTCCAGTTGTTAAACCCACCACAGTTCGTATTGTTCTTACTCTTGCTATTTCTTTTGGGTGGGTTGTACGTCATTTAGATGTCAAAAATGTGTTCTTACATGGTCACCTTACTGAGTAGGTTTATATGCGTCAACCGCGGGGATTTATTCATCCTTAGTTCCCTCATCATGTGTGTCGCCTGCGAAAAGCCATTTATGGACTTAAGCAGGCCCCACGAGCTTGGTTTCATCGTTTTAGTAGTTTTCTCCTTACTCATAATTTTTTATGTAGTAAGTTAGAAAATTCTCTGTTCATTTATCATCAGGGTCACTCAGTCATGTACTTTTTTTTGGATGAAAGGTAATTTTATAGACACCCAAAAATAACATAATACAATGTATCAAAACTATCTAGCTAGCTAATCTAACTAAAAATAGTATCCATCATTCAACCCCCCCCCCCCCTCCCCGTCCACCCCCTTGTGGGAGGTAGGCGAGGGAGAGAGTTTTTCAGAAAGGTCCAAAACGGCATGGGACAGGCCCCGGCTCGTATCAAAAACATGAAAGAAAATTTGCCCGTCGTCCACAAAGCCCAAGGAATCCGAAGCAATGAAGCTCCATCCTCCAAATTAGGTTTGCTTCAGCGGCCCAATAACTGCCCAACAGTGTCAAAGAAATATCACAAAAATCCAGTCCACAAATGTTAAACCCAGCTAGAAAGAGCCAGACAGCAATTCCTTCCAGCAGCCGATCCAGCCCAAAGAGCGAAGCCCATCAGGAAATCAACCGGCCCACCAATGTCATCCTCCAACGAACTGCCAGCGGGCTAGGGTTAGCAGTCAGCCTAGCAATGCCAGCCCAGCATCGCTTTCTCCCCAGCGCCGCAGCTCAAACGTGGCAAACTAATTTCAAAATTTGACAGCGACAACCGTCAAACAGTCAACCCACACGTCACCCCTGTCGCAGACTCCACCCCCACCGGTCCCGGCGTCATCCCGGCGGCAACGCCGTGTCATGAATACCAGCCGGAGTAGTAACCCAGCCCAACCGGAACTCCCCCCATCACCCCACCCCCGTTGGACCCCGGCGACCCAACGGCCCCAGCAGGTGGCGACGGACGGCGGTCAGACAGTAGCCGGAAAACAAACAGTCCACACCCATCGAGACAGAACCAAACCGATGTCCCAGCCCCCAAGCCAAAGAAATCCAGACACGAAGTGCCAAGAGAGTAGAACTGAGCCCAAATTAAAAGCTTCCTAATCCAGATGGGTTAACGAACGAAGAAGACTTACCGGAGTGAGGCTTTCTCGTTTTCAGACGAAGACCGCCGGTGGCTGCAAACTCCAGAACCAAGGCCTTGGCCCAGCCAAGGAACCGTAACGAAGCAGGTAAGAGGTGGTGGCTGCATGACCGGATTGCGCCAGGACCCCTCACCCGGCGCTGCCACTAAAGACACCACCACCCTTGAACAGTGAACCAACTGCGAGCTCTCAGGTGCAGGAAAAGGAGCGAGCAGGCCCTTGTTATCCTGGGAGTCTAAATGGCCGATGACTGGCGTCCCAAATCACCCGTCACAAGATATCCCCAACCATTCCGGCGTCGTGTCCAAAGACTACTGTACTGCACCCACCGGAGAATTTTCATCCCGGTTGTGGGTAAGAAGGGGAAGAAGGAAGGCGAAGCACGATGGTCAACGACTGAAGCACAAACCAGCAGAGAACCACCGGACCCCATCTAGATAAGTCTTCCAGTAGCTTAGGATCAGCTTCGTCCCTGTACAACGGCCCAGGACCTCCAACCAAGGGGACAGAGAGAGAGAGCAACCAGGATACAGAGCTCCTTTCACCCACCGCCAAAACCACCAAGCCCAGGTTTAACATTGTAGTCCAGCCATCGTCCACCCATTCTGTCAATAGTGACCCGTTCTTCTCCGTCACAGCCCCCCAACCGGCGACCGAAGTTACTAGCGGTCGTTCTCGTTAGAGTGAGCAGTTTCCGGCGAGATTTCCACAGTCAAACATCCGTGCCACAGAGGTCAACAACGAACCTGAAACAGAGCTCGTAAGAACCCACACACACTCCCGCACAAGACCACCGGAGAGATATTCCAGAAATATCACCAAAGCTCAAGAGGCCCGCCGGAGTCAGGAGGGCTCCGGCGGCGGCAGCCACCGCGTGTGGTGGTACCGACCCGAGGAAGAAGAATAGCGTAGGCTAGAGAGACTCTCTCAACTTCTTCCTTCAGGCGCTCAGGCGCCGGTTTCAAAATTCAGGCGCTGGTTTCAGAAAGCTAAGATCTTCAAAATTTCATGGCTCATATACTTGTTATTATATGTTGATGACATTATTATAATAGGTAATTCACCTTCTCTTGTCTCCTCTTTTATTAATCGCATAGCGTCTCATTTTACTATGAAGGATCTTTGTGATCTCCACTATTTTTTGGGGGTCCAAGCTGTCAGAAATTCCAAAGGAATTTTTCTTTCACAACAAAAATATGTGTTTGATCTTCTTCTTCGTTTTCATTTACACACTCTCAAGTCTGTTCGTACTCCTCTGGCTACATGCACGACACTCTCCCTCACTGATGACGAACTACTGGCCGATGCCACTAAGTATCGCAGTATGGTAGGTGCATTGCAGTATTTTACCTTGACATGACCCGATATTACTTATGCAGTTCATTTAGTGTCTCAGTTTATGCATGCTCCTCGTACCACTCACATGCTTGCTGTCAAGCGTATCTTTCGTTATTTACAGGGCACTATTGATCATGGATTATGGCTGCAGACATCTACACGTCCCATGTGTATTTTGGCTTATTCTGATGCTGATTGGGCAGGTTGTCCAGATAGTTCTCACTCTACTACAGGGTTTGCAGTTTTCTTGGGACCTAATCTTGTCTCGTGGAAGTCCAAGAAACAGCTTACAATATCCAAATCTTCCACAGAGGCCGAATATCGTGTTATTGCTTATACAGTACAGGACACATTACACATTAGGACCGTCCTTTTTGAGCTTGGTTTCCCAGTTCGTGTTCCAGTCCAGCTCTTCTGTGATAATATTTTTGCTTCCTACTTGACGGCTAATCCAGTTCAGCACGCTCAGAGCAAACATATTCAGATTGATTATCATTTTGTTCAAGAGAGAGTCGCTCATGGTGAATTAGTTGTTAAATATGTACCTACTCATCTACAGGTAGCTGATATTTTTACGAAAAGTTTATCTAGTCAGCAGTTTCATTTTTTAAAGGACAACCCGCGCGTTGTATCTCCTGCACAGCTTGAGGGAGTGTAATAGTTTAATATTATTAGGATTCTTGGTGTATTTCTTAAACTTCTTTTATTATAAATATATCTGCCAGGGCTCCTAAGGGAGTACCCTTTTCCCATTATTCCACAGTTTCTTCTCCTATCAGAGACCCAATGTCATTTTCCCCTAGTTTCTTTGCCTCCTAGAGACCAAACCGTCATTTTCCCTTGGTTTCTTCGCCTCCTAGAGACCCAACCGTTTTTTCTCCCTAGTTTTTTTGCCTCCCAAAGACCCAATCATCGTTTCTCTGGCCCTTTTCCTAGGTTCTTCACCTCCCAGAGACCCAACCATCATTTTTCTAGCCTTCCCTGGGGTTCTTCGTCTCCTAGAGACCCAAACAAGTCTCGCCCAACCTTCTTTCGCGGATCTCACAAGCATATAAAATGATAAAATTGGTTGGGGATTGGGGAAGGACTTATGTGCAATATAATGTACTTTTAATATAAAAGTTGAGCTGGATTAGATTACCAATGCTATGCTGCCAAGTGTGGTATGTACCAAAACATCCCTCAATACATGTGTACCGTAAAATTTTCCTATATAATACTACCTCCTTCCCGCTATGATTGTCTCATTTTACCTTATCAGTCCGTCCCACTAAGATTTTCACATACCAAATTTGGTAAAATGTGTGTGGCTCTAAATCATTTTTACTTTATTCTTACTTTATCAATTCAATATCAACCACATAAACCACTTTTTATTAATTTGCGTGTCACTCCCTCTTGTCCCATTGTTAGCGGGATGGAGGGAGTACTTCGTAGACTATAATATAGGATGTACAAGTGGGTCCAACTAAACTATGTATCCAACCACAGCTACGATCAAGATACGCAAAACAATCTGTATGAAACTCAAACACACACTCTTCCATCGTATGCGATAAGCTTTAACACCGAGTACGTCGAAGATAACTACCAACGAGGTGTGGATGAAGCTGTTTAACTTAAACTCCAACTCTAACGGAGCCTGGAACCCTAATTACTAGTATAAATAGTGTCCTCCGCCTGTGTTTATTCTCATTCCTGACAATCAATATTATACATGCTAATATGCATATATGTATATTTATATACAAATTTCTAACTTTGTGATTTACCCAAAAAAAATCTGAGATAAAAAACTACACTACAACCTTTCCCTTCGTGAAAGGAATCCAACGGTGAAAGAATCGTAGAAAACGATCGTGAAACGAGGGAGAAAACACTCGCCGGAGTTTCGCGGAGTGGGTTTTGACGTGAAAGAAAGGGAGGAGCCGGACTGACTTGCTGCAACACCGTCGCCCAACAGATCCAACGTCGTATCTGTGCCGCTCTTCCGTTGAAGGTGAACTTGGAGGAAGCCGTTAGAGATGCTTATTAGGAATACCGGGAATTTGAGGTAAGTACTATGTCAACCAAAATTATATTTTACCTCATATATTTATGTGTTATTATTTATTTGAGGTTATTTGAGTATTTGATAGTTGATGAGATTTTTTTATGTATTAGTTGTGATTGGGAATATTTGAGATTTGAGTATTTTATATTGGAGTGATATTAAATCTATATTATCTTGAGAAATTCGAATTTAGTATTGTGGGGTATTGAATATTTTTAATACCATTGAAACTATTTTGGAGAACTTAAAAAATATTTATAGAGTATATTTTGACTATAAACGAAAACTAATGTAAGGAATATATTGTATTTAGATTTTGATGATCCTAAGCTAATTAGGATATTGGAGTACCCCCTTTTAGTTATTTTGTATTAGAATTTTTCTAAGTGTAAGTTTTTGCATAGTCGACAGACTAGAGAACCTCAAGGGTTTCTGCCTCGGCCAGAGATGCACCAGAGAACTGTGTAACTTAACTTCAACAGGGTTGCTACCAGAGTATCTCATCAGAATGTCCACACTTAGAGATTTCCAAAGACCTTCAAAAAGTCGTTACAAATAACGGGATATTCTCTAACGGCTAGGAGCCTCTCAATGCAAAAAGATATTGTTCATGCATTAAATGCTCATTTAATGAGCTTCACACGTTGAGATATTTTTTTTTGCAAGAAAGAGAATTAAATTTCATTAATCAAATCATTATCCAGCATACAAGAGATAAAAAGCGGTGGAGCAAAAGACAAAAAATGCGAATCAGACATGGAACAGGTTGCCTTAGCAATGGTATGAGCTAACTTATTCGCTGACCGTTTAATATGAGAAAATGCAATGCTAGAAAAATTTCTCGCAATGACTCTAATATCTTCAGCAACCAAACCATAAGAAGAACAGCTAGAGCCCTTGAGAATTTCTGAAATAGCCCAGGAAGCATCCGATTCCACATCAATATCCTTCCAATCGGCCTCCTGCAACCAACAAAGGGCCTCTCTAATTCCCAGCAACTCTGCTTGAATAGGAGAAAACTTGCCTGACATCGGTTTAGCTGCCCCAGTTACAAAGTGTCCTTCCTCGTCTCGCAGACACCACCCAAGAGCGCATCTATCCGTCCGAATTGCAGCATCAACATTAAGTTTAAATCTGCCCGGTGCAGGCCGACACCAGGACAAAGTAGACTTATTTCCCGCTGCCACCGATGCTCTTCGTTCCAGCTGAGTTTGAGACCAACCCTGCACAAAAGCCCTCGCCCTCAGCATAAAGTCCTTAGCAGGCGAGCAAGAATTCCGCCACACCCGTTTATTTCTCTCACAGAAGTTGTGTGCAGACCAGATCTGCTACAACCAGAAAAGAAGAAATGTTTGCTTGCTACATTTCTCAGATGAAACCTATGACTGTGGAAGAAGCTCTTGAAGACTCAGACTGGATCAATGCTATGCAAGAAGAGCTTACCCGATTCGAAAGAAACAACGTGTGGGAACTTGTTCCCAGACCAAAGCACCAGAATGTCATTGGAACCAAATGGGTATTCAAGAACAAAGCTGATGAAGAAGGCAACATTGTAAGGCAGGTAGCTAAAGGATATTGCCAGGAAGAAGGAATTGATTTTTGTGAGACCTTTGCCCCATTTGTCAGATTAGAAGCCATCAGAATCTTCCTTGCCTATGTTGCATACAATGACATCAAGGTCTACCAAATGGATGTCAAAAGTGCTTTACTGAATGGAGATCTTGAAGAGGAAGTCTATGTTGAACAACCACCAGGTTTTGTCATTCCTACTCAATTCTCCTGTGTCTACAAGCTTAGAAAAGCTCTTTATGGCCTTAAGAAAGCTCACAGAGCATGGTATGACACATTGTCCCTCTTCTTAGTGAACCATGGGTTCACTAAAGGAAAGGTTATCAAAACTCTATTTCAAATCTCTGTTGCTAACCATATTCTGCTAGTAGAAATATATGTTGATGATATTATATTTGGAAGTACTAATGCAGAACTATGTAAGAAGTTTTCTCAAGATATGCAGAGTCAATTTGAAATGAGCATGATGGGTGAACTAAGCTACTTCCTAGGATTGCAAGTAAAACAAGTTCCAGAAGGGATCTTTATCAATCAAGTGAAGTACACCAGAGATCTAATCAAGAAGTTTGGAATTGAGGGAAAAGCTTCTGTCAAGATTCCCATGAATATCTCACAAGGGATTGGACCAGATGATGACGGAAAAGATGTGGATGCAACAATGTAGAGGGATCATTGGATCTCTTATGTATCTAACTGCACGCAAACCAGATATATCATTCTCTGTTGGAATCTGTGCCAGATACCAATCAAAGCCCAAGGAGAGCCATCTAAGTGATGCAAAAAGAATAATCAAATATATCAAAGGAAATCCAAATAGAGGCCTATGGTATCCCAAGGGAGGTAACTTTGAACTAATTGGTTACTCTGACTCAGACTTTGCAGGTTGCGGGTTAGATAGAAAGAGCACCTCTGGTCCCTGTCAATTGCTAGGTGGGAGGTTTGTCCCTGTTTAGCAAGAAGCGGGACTCTATCTTAACAAGCACAGCTAAAGCAAAATATATTGCTGCTGGGAGTTGCTGTGCTCAGCTTGTCTGGATGAAGCAACAACTCAAGGATTATGGGATTATTGCAAAGGAGATCAAACTTCTCCGTGACAACACAAGTGCCATTGCAATCACTCAGAATCTTGTACTTCACTCCAGAACCAAGCACATCGAAATCAGACATCACTTCATTAGAGATCATGTTGAAAAAAGCACATATGTATGGAACATGTCCCAACAGAAGATCAACTTGCAGATATCCTCACCAAACCTCTCAGCGAAACAAGGTTTAACAAGCTAAGGGAAGAACTAGGGATGATGGATGATCTGCCCAGCGACTATTGAGCATAAATATCTTCACCAGAATACCTCTATATAGAATATAATCTGACAGAAAACCTCAAGCAGAAACCCTCTGGTATGTAATCTGACAGACAACTTTGAACTAATTGGTTACTCTGACTCAGACTTTGCAGGTTGCGGGTTAGATAGAAAGAGCACCTCTGGTCCCTGTCAATTGCTAGGTGGGAGGTTTGTCCCTGTTTAGCAAACCTGCATCTACTACCACGTTGGCTTTACCGGGGTGGTACTCGATAACTAGATGGTAATCTTTTATCAACTCCATCCACCGTCTCTGTCTCATATTTAACTCTTTCTGAGTAAACACGTACTTCAGGCTTTTGTGGTCGGTGTATATATGACATGTTTCCCCGTAGAGATAATGTCTCCAAATCTTCAATGCGAACACTACTGCCCCCAGCTCTAAGTCATGAGTGGGATAATTTACCTCATGCTTCTTCAACTGTCGTGAAGCATAGGCAATCACCCTCCCATTCTGCATCAAGACACATCCAAACCATTGGATGCTTGCGTCGCTGTAGACATCGTACCCCACACCCTGTTTGGGTAGTGCGAGTACCGGTGCCTCGGTCAATCTCTTCTTCAGTTCAAGGAATCCCTTCTCACATCGGTCATCCCATACAAACTTGGCCCCTTTTCGAGTGAGCTTTGTCAATGGCGATGCCAAAACTGAGAACTTCTCCACGAACTTTCGGTAGTACCCTGCCAATCCAAGGAAACTACGAATTTCTTTGACGTTCTTTGGCCTCTCCCATTCAGTAATGGCCTCAATCTTCTTGTTATCTACGGCAATCCCTGATCCCGAAATCACATGCCCGAGAAAGCCAATCTCCCTTAGCCAAAATTCACATTTGGAAAACTTGGCATAGATTTGCTTCTCCCGTAGTGTCTCAAGAACAAGTATCAAGTTCTCCTCATGTTCTTCTTCACTCTTTGAGTAAATCAAGATATCATCTATGAACACAATCACAAACCGGTCCAAGTATTTATGAAATACTCGGTTCATCAAGTCCATAAATTCTGCCGGGGCGTTGGTTAGCCCGAATGACATAACTAGGAACTCGAAATGGCCATACCTTGTGCGGAATGCACTCTTCGGTATTTATGAAATACTCGGTTCATCAAGTCCATAAATTCCGCCGGGGCGTTGGTTAGCCCGAATGACATAACTAGGAACTCGAAATGGCCATACCTTGTGCGGAATGCACTCTTCGGTATGTCATCCTCCTTTATCTTCAGTTGGTGGTACCCCGACCTCAAGTCAATCTTCGAAAACACCGTCGCTCCTCGGAGCTGATCAAACAAGTCATCAATCCTAGGCAAGAGATAGCTATTCTTGATTGTGACCTTGTTCAGTTGACGATAGTCAATGCACATTCGAAGTGTTCCATCTTTCTTTTTCACGAAAAGGACCGGTGCTCCCCACGGAGAGTGACTCGGCCTTATGAAACCGTTATCCAATAGCTCTTGCAATTGGGTTTTCAAATCGTTAAGTTCAGCGGGTGCCATTCTGTATGGCGGTATAGAGATTGGTTCGGTGTCGGGTTCAACCTCGATCACGAACTCAATCTCCCTATCGGGTGGAAGCCCCGACAAGTCTTTTGGGAAGACATCCGGATACTTGCACACTATTCTCACATCATTGATGTCTACTTCTTCTTTGGTTTTGTCCACCACGTAAGCTAGATATGCGTGGCTTCCCTTTCTCATCATATTCCTCGCTCTCACGGCGGATATGATACAACTGTTTGAGTTGCCTCTATCTCCCTCGAAACGTAAGGTCAAACCTTCACCGCTTTCGAGTTCAAGAACCTTCGTATAACAATCAACCCTAGCATGATGCTTCTCTAGCCAATCCATCCCGAGGATCGCGTCGAACTCGATCATGCTCAGCGGTACGAAGTCACACGTCAAGTTCTGTCCCTCCACCTCCACCTCACACGATGGATAGTGGCTATCTCTTTCGATATCATCCCCTAGAGGTGTGGATACCAATAGGGTTTGAGTCATCGGTACAAGTGGTCCGTTGAATCCGCAGGCGAACGCCTCACTCACAAATGATCGTTGCGCCCCGGTATCAATAAGGATCC